GGGAGCTTCCTGCTCGTCTCTGATGCGCAGCGGTGAGGATTGAAGACCTGCCCTGTGTCGTCGTCGGATCGTGGCAGGCGCCGCCATGAGTGGGTTTGTTGTTGACGATCGTAATCATAAAGGAGTGGTGAGAGCGTCTAGGTCGGGCTTGGAACATCTTCAGGGCTCCGGTTCTCCTTGGCTTTGCTGATCGTGGTATATGTACATGGGTGTAACAAGTACCGGTGGTGTAAGGCCTACCATCGCCAAGCGTTGCGACGGTCGTTCATTGATCACCATCGCCTGTGCGGCGAAAGTGTTAACCAAGGATGACGAACCATGATGCCTATAGCGCCTCTTCCATAGATCGATAGGCTTTTAGTATGAGTGAAGCACAGGCCACTGAGGAGGGAACGCTAGAACTAGACATCAAACTCACAGATGCGATACCTCCTCGAACGCCATCGTGCCACGAATGGTCTTACCAAAGCAGTTCTGAGATACACTCTGTTCCATGACGTTACTGACCAAGGAGGCCATGACGTTGCTAGTGTTTCGCGTACTCTTGGGAGATGTATCTTGTTGGCCCTCGGTGTATAACGATTCGTCAACCTGCGGATTCCACCCGTCATTCTCCCTTCGTCACTGGATGCCTAAATAGATTCGCAGTGGCTTGCCGCGCTCAGTATGCAGTGACGTCTAGGCTTCCGAGGTTTAGCCACTCCAACCTGGCGTAATAAGCCCGAGTAGAGAGCCCACTGTTGGGCGCCTGAAGATGGTGATCGTAAGCCTCGCTATCGTGCTGTGAATGCGTGTTGGATTGTCGAAACTGTGCCTCTCCAGCATGGCATATCGAGCCTGGAGAAGGTATAAATATCAGGCTGCTGTCCCTTCAAGGGTTCATCATCCAACACGATCTTCAAACCTCAAGCAACTGACTCCCACTCCAACCTCAAACATTCCAACAGTGTGTCTTGTCAATCTCTTGCTTTTGCTTCCAGCTGACTGTTCCTCCCAGAACTTCAAGATGCAGTTCACTCTTGCCTCCGTCATTGCCATTGCTGCCGCTCTCGCTCCTGCGATCAACGCCTTCTCCATTACCGTAAGTCATGTCCTGAAGCGAGCCTCCGCAAGGCGATATACTCGTCATGAACACCCGCTGACTTGCATCTCTTCCTCCAGAACTGCGAGACCGGCCAGTACAAGAACTTCGGCGAGGGTGGTAACAACAAGTGTCAGGGTTTCAACACTGGCAAGAGCGTTGCATTCGATAGCAACAAGGGCCTGTCTCTCCGCGTCTACGCTTCGACCGACTGCCAGGCTGGTGACGAGATTTTCATTACCGAGCAGAACAAGTGCCAGGAGGTTCCTTTCACCGGGCTATCCGTGCTGGCGGAGTAAGGGCGATCGCATGCGTCTTGGCAAGCAACAAACGCTTTCAGCATTTCGGGGAGCGAAGGAATTTGGAGGCAATGCTATGCAACATAGTGTAGCCGTCCACCTTGTATCCTAGACACCTACTCGTCACGTACAATACATTCGAACTATCGATATTGGAAGGTACCATGACCTATCAGTGATTCGTCTGTTGGGGATGGTAATCTTCTGGTGCTTTTTGGAGAGGGCGAGTCGGCCGGTTGGTGGACCCCTCCATCGGTGCAGCGGGAACAGCGTTGCCGATCCGAGGCACGCGCTGGAAATCTTTGGAAGTGATCTCGGCAATCGATGGATGGTCGTGGCATTCGCTGAACGCGTGGTGTTGTTGTCGGATGGGATCGTGCTCCGACGATGGCGTGAGGTCCTAACAGCTCGCCGTCACGTGATAGCACGCAACCGCAACATCGTCGGCCCGATTCGCCAGGTTCCTGAACGATTTGTAACGCGAGAATGACGCCACGCACTCCGCTGCTCCAGCGCGACATTTCAACCCCACAAACCTCTCTTCCACCATACTCCGGAGTACAGCCTAACTCGATCTTCTGGCATCCCGCAAGAGGCCCGCCTAGATCACGGCGCTTCGCCTACATCTGCCGAGGTGTCGTAGCCGGGCCCTAGCCTATAGCGTACCTCTATGACGTCGCTATGGATCAATCTCGGACGAGTCCGTCATTGTTTGGCAACATATTCGTGGAACAGCTTAGAAATGCAAAACTGATGAAGCACTAACGAAACACTTATAGACCGCCATTGATCGCACGCCAAGTTCGCATCTCACTCACAACATACAACTTCCAAACATCAGTCTTATTATACTATACTTTTGTCTTTTTCGTTAGATACCTATTCACATTTCCGCAAACATGGCACCAAGAAGATACGAAGCCGAGAAGAAGGACCCTGCCCCTTTGGCAAAGCCTCTCGACTTTGCATTCTCCAAGAAGACTGCGCAGAACCGATTCCTGAAGGGCGCCATGACCGAGCGTCTATCGTCATGGGATGCTCAAAACCTCGAAGCTCGTGGTGTTCCTTCCAAGAACCTCGTCAACGTCTACCGACGCTGGGGCGAGGGCGAGTTCGGCGTCATCCTGACCGGTAACATCATGATCGAATACGACCACCTGGAGGCTGCTGGCAACCCCATCATTCCCCGCGGCTCAAAGTACGAGGGCGAGCGATTTGAGATGTTCAAGGAGCTTGCGACACAGTCAAAGAAGCACGGCTCTTTGATCGTCGGACAGGTCAGCCATCCAGGTCGCCAGGTAACCGAGAGCATCCAAAAGAACCCCATCTCCGCATCCGACGTACAATTAGAGGGCAACGTCATGGGCATGACCTTCGCCAAGCCACGCGCCGCTACCGACGAGGATATCAAGAACGTCATCGAGGGCTTCGCTCACGCAGCTGAGTACCTTGAGAAGGCCGGTTATGACGGTATCCAGCTTCACGGCGCCCACGGCTACCTGCTCGCACAATTCCTTGCCCCAAGCACCAACAAGCGTACCGACAAGTACGGTGGATCTCTCGAGAACCGCGCACGCATCGTCACCGAGATTGGTAAGGAAGTCCGCAAGCGCACATCTTCCAACTTCGTTCTTGGCATCAAGCTCAACTCCGTTGAGTTCCAAGACAAGGGTTTCGGTACCGAGGAGGCCGCAACTCTCTGCAAGTTGCTTGAGGACAACAGCTTCGACTTTGTTGAGCTCTCCGGTGGTACCTACGAGCAGCTTGCTTTCGGTCACAAGCGCGAGTCAACCAAGAAGCGTGAGGCTTTCTTCCTCGACTTCGCCGAGAAGATCACTCCTTCGCTCTCTAAGACCAGGACCTACGTCACTGGTGGCTTCAAGAGCGCCGCCGCCATGGTCGACGCCCTCAACACTGTCGACGGTGTTGGTCTCGCTCGTCCAGTCACCCAGGAGCCCGAGCTTCCTCGCCAGATCATCAACGGTGAGGTTCACGCCGCGATCAACCAATTGACCGACGACAACGACTTCGGCATCACCAACGTTGCAGCAGGAACACAGATTAGGCAGCTGGGAAAAGACCAACAGCCTATCGACCTGAGCGACGAGAAGAACTTCGAGGCTTTCCAGAAGGACATGGGTACCTGGGCTCAGGGCTTCTCCGACGACAAGACCGGAAGCAAGTACGGTTACGTCGACATTGAGAGCGCCAAGGCTATTCCTTACGGCACCGCTGCTCCCGCCTCGTAGATATTTCGCATCAAGAACATGTGTATATAGATTGAACGAATAGACACGAATCACACGACTGGATAGATCACTCAACATCCCTCATGCACTGTCTTCTCCAACTATCCATTTCCTAGCAGCCCTCTCCCTCCCCTGGTGTAGCGGGTCTATCATAAAACTCGTCCTCACTAATATCCCTAATGACCTCAATTCTCCACCTCTGCGTCTTAGCCCCCTCATCCTTCTCCCTTAACACAACTCTCCTCCCATCCTGCCCACCAACATCCATAACCTTCAGTACACCACTCGCTTCATTCCCAATCCACCAAGTACCATCACCCCACTCGCCCACCTTCCAATCCAGCGCATGCGGCGTGTCGTCCGCCCGCCTCAACACCGCTTTCGAAGTATCTTCTGCGTAAACATCGAGGAGCCGGTTTGGGCCTAGCCACCATGTGCGGAGGCGGTAAGTGTTTGGGGTTGAGGATGAGGGTGAGGGGATGAAAGCCCAGTATTGGCCTGAGTAGTAGCCTTCGCGGGTTAATTTGAGGAGGCCGGTGCTGTTTTGGGTGCCGTGGTCGTTGACGATGTCGAGGGTGGGGTTGGAGGAATTGGCGGTGTTGGTTATGCGGTGGAAGTAAGAGGGGGAGAGGGTGGGTCGAGGATTGGCCATTTGGGGTGGTTGTGGTGGCTGTGGTGGTTGAGGGGTTGAGGGGTTGGATAATGATGGGAACTGTGAAGCTGTGTAAACGATACAACTATGTGAGTTCAGCAATGAGATCCTTATACTTCTACCATTACGAAGGATTTATCTTTCTGTTGAATGAAGATAACACTTCAGTGTCGCCGATGAACAGCCATGCCGTGTGGCGCATAGCACGAGACTGTCAAAACGGGTACCTGGTCGACCTATCACGAACTTAGAAGCTTGGAAATGAGGTTTCGATTGTAGGCCTGAATTCATGGTTCAGGCAGTGATGAATGAAACCAGGGCAATACGCCGATCACTTGACCAGCTGACAGTCAGCCACCATGCAGGGCCGTTGCTAGCGACCCTATTACGACTATGTAGACGTTTTGTTGGGATATGTGCAAACTTTGGCAGGTCACGATCAGAATCTGTTGAGGTTGAAATGACCGGAAACGAAGAGGAGACGAAGATGAGGATGATAGAGAGAAGGCCTGATGACGTCACATCGTCATTTGGAGGCACAGCGGCAATATTGATCACGACAACATGATAGTCCCCTCCAATTAGCATAGTGATGCATTAGCATGTCAGAAAATGACTGTGGGAGAAAGTATAACAAGCGGCACTCAAATCATCAACTGGAGTATGCAAACATCGACCAGGTGCTCCTCGACACCCTGAATAGAGTTCAGTACTAATGTTCACTTCTTCTCACCCTTCAACTTTGCAATTCTTCCGCTCTTCCGTGTCCCAGTTGCTGGTGGAGCCTTTTGCTTCGCAGGTGTCTTCGCAGGTGTCTTCGCAAGTTTCTTCGCAGATGTCTTTGCGGGCGTCTTCGTAGTCCTTTCGGGCGGGCTTGGAGCCGCTGATCTTCGCGATTGGCCTTTGGTCGTTGCCTGAGGTGATGGCCTTGATTCCAGCGAAGAGGATTGAGCCGCAGCAGCAGGTAATGGGTTGTCGTGGCGGACCGCTGGCGAGGTCGTCACGATAGCTCCTGTTGACGTGGAATATTTGGCAGAGTCTTCGAAGTGGACCAGGTCGTCATCATCTTCACCTTCTGGGCCGGTGGAACTGGGCTCGGATGGTTCTTTCCTTTGACTGGACTCAGGAAGCACTTCCTGTCCTCCCGCCTCCACTCCTTCGGCGAGTTCCCTTTCTTCATCCTTACGCGCTTGTTCGGCCATCGGCGGTATACGCTTCTTAAACAGACGGCGCTCCTCCCTCTCCCCCTCAAGCTGTTTGTTAAGCTTGCGCGTCTCCGCAACGCGATACTGTTTGGTGCCTTCCGCAGGGCTCACATGTGGAGATGTGCCCTCTTGTATGGGGGAAAGATATTGCCCTGGAACTTCACCTTGGGTCTTCATAGCGATCGCACTGGGCGGCTGGCGTAACGGAATATTATTGCGCGGCTTTACGGCTCTTTTCCGGGCATCTGAAGCGCGTGCCTTCTCGCGACGCTCACGAATGTCGTTGCCGGTGATGCGCGGTCGAGGTGATTCTTGCACCGGTGGGGTGTCGTCTCTAGAGGCAGGAGAAGTGTAAAGGTCATGACTCTCTTGATCCAGATCACGTCTATGCCCGCGCGCAGTCTTCGGCCGTGGCGTGTCGACTTGTACATCTGTAGAGCCTTGGGCACGGCGAGGTGTAGGATTAGATGGACGGACCATCGGCCGTTCGTATTCTCCGGAAGAAATGTCTTCACTAGAAAGATCTACAGGGCCCAGGCTTTGAGGCGAAGGTGCATCGTCGCTACTGTATGGACCGCCACGACCCCGACGAGGCGTCGGATTTGACGGCCGTGCAAGCGGCGAAGAGGAGTAATTGTTCAAAAAGTCTAGACTGGATGGACTTCCACGACTCCCTCTACTCTGTTCCGATGACGGTATCCTGAAGTCCGAGAAGTTGAGATCAATATCGGGCGATGTGGGCGAGGGCCGCTCTCGTACTGGGCTTATGTGCGTTGCTGTCGGATTGTAGCCTAGCATAGCCATATCCGGCTGGTCATCTTGCTGTATCCCTTCCTCATGGATCAGACTTCCCTCCAGTTGACCTGTGGAAGATAGAGACTGAACGGTGATCTCAGGCACGTCTCCTGCCGCCGCATCGTCTACCCTCCTTCTTACTCTCCTTTCAGCCTCTCTTTCTCTCTCAAATGCTTCGTAATCATCCAAAAGCTTACGCTTAGCCATCCTAAAGGTAGTTTCACTCTCTGACAGAGTCAAATAAGTGCCGATCATCCGATCGACCTCACGGGCAATCTCCTTATAAAGATCCTCTGGCATCTCCTCCATACGTTGCTCTAGGTCAGGCATGATCTGAAGTGTGCGGACAACATGATAGACAGCCAGCCGGATCCTTTTGCGATTACATTTGTTGTGCTGGAAGAACCAACATAAGCCCGATGCTGCAGCTGCACCTCCTGTGATTGCCACTAAGATATCGCCGTATCGCTGAAGGAAAGACGGCAGTGTGCGTTCGCCGAAGAGATATTGGGTCAGTGTCCTTGCGACCACATATGGCGGGGGTGTTGGGCGAGGCATGTGAACCTGTCCAGGTAGCAACATAGTCGTAGTGTCTGTAACTATTGTGGACTTGGGTAATCGCGTGGCGCGCAAGGTCTGTGACGCTAAAGTGTAGTATCGCCTTCCAGCTGCCATTTGGACTACTTTCACTTTGAAGGTGGGAGCAAACAGTGAACTTGGACAGAGTACGCAGGTCCCATTCCGTTGTTTAGAAAGAAAAGGCTCTTCAAACAAGAAGGCTCTCGGTCTTTGTATAAGCGACGAAGATGTACTCGCGGCGTCGTTGTTCCAAGTTGAGAAGACAATGAACAAAGGACGTAAAGATTCGAACAGTGTCGAAAGACCGGGTGCATTCGATGCGGATGGCGATGCTGAGTTTCTATATGCTCAAACTAGGGGTTCGGTCGAAGCGGCCAGTTTGAGCATATAGAAACTCAATCTCGTCATCCGCACCGAACACACGCGTTGGCGATGGCGGCGTGAAGTGCATAGTAGTTGCGTGCGAACAAAAAGGCCCACTAGACCCGTCTGCTAACAACACCAAGGCCATGCGAAAGCCAGCCCACCAAGGATGGGAAGATGTTCGGCTTCATCTTCTGGGGTAGTTAAGCCTCAGTGCCGCGGTCGGTAGATTGCGAAAGCGTGGACGGTCAGTCTGCGGGATGTCAGCCGTGAACCTTCACCAGATAGGACGTATCGTCTTACCAATCCCTTATCTCTCCACACCTCACCATCTTCACTTGTTTCTATCGTCCATTTATTCCTTCCTCCGTACAACCATCCCTCCATCATCCTAAAACCCCTTAACCCTCCCCACCCCCGTCAGCGGAACCCCAACACCCCTCTCCCTGCCCCCCTGCCCCCTCCCTTGACTCGCCATTCCCCCAAGCCCAATATCGCGCCCATATCCCGAGCCACCGCCATATAGCTCGCGACTATCCCAGTTCCGTCCTTTGAACGGCCTCGCATGACCGGATTGTTTAAGCCATTTCGCAAGCAAGACACCGACGGTCGCCCAGGCTGCGGCGATGAGGAGGGCGAAGATGACGAAGTACATCGTGTGAGGAGTAGACGGCGACCGGAATGAGGACCTCGGGATGGTTGGTGTCTTGGTATCGATGGCGAGGCGGCGATCGGGGTAGACGGGTAGTTTAGGCTGGGCGGTTGAAATCAAAGGTAGGAGGAAGCTTCACGACAAAAGCATACCTAGTTGTATGTGTTGTCAAGAGAAAGGGAAATGGGATGCCAACGCAAAAGCGGAGGTCATCGGCTGCACCTACTGGCGGCAGCGCTAAAAGTTGGGGTAAAGATGGGGTAAACAAAGCTTGTATCTTCCTCCTATCCGAAGTCGATGGATCGACATTTCAGTCCTCCCGGGTGCGCCATTGGCTGCGTGAGACAATATAAAGCCTCAAGACTCGAAAGCACGAAATCAAAAAAAATCAAGGTGTTGAGATGTGGACATGTAAAGAGGTAACAATGCAATATAAGAAGCGGAATGATGATGCATACAGCTTCTTCTATCCACAAGTACAAATGCGCAATCAAAAGGGTATACGCGCACATCCACTGCCCTCACGCTCACCGCACAGCGATCAAGCTCCACTACTTCCACTTCCCTCAGCACGCTCCTCCTTCTCCACCTCCTTCGTCCTCTTAAACCTCTCCTCCGCAGCCTTCGCAAGCACCTCCCTCCTACTCAACCCACCCATCGCACCACTACTACTATTACCACTCCCACCCATCTTGCCCTCCCCACCAGCACTCCCCAGCGTAAACTCGCCCCCAGTCCACCCCCCATGATCATGCACCTCCTCACTTCCCTCATCCCCTGGATTATAAAACTCGTCGTTCCCCACACTCCTCCCGCCACTCTTCCAATCATCGCGCGCAACCTCGCGTTCAATCTGCTTGCACAAGTTCCAGAAGTTGCGGTCGTGAGGGCCCCAGACATTATGCGCCAACTCATGGCACAGCGTGTTCCTTATCGTCTTGTAATCGCGATACCCGTCGTAAGCATCTGTGCGGAGCCGCAACTCGATGACCTCGCCTTGGTTGCGATTGAGGCCCAGTGTCCGACTCTCCATTGTAGTATGCATGGCAGGATCCATCTCGGTAAGCAGCGGCACACTAAACTTGTGCGTGCGCATTGCTGCTTTGATGCCCGCGTCGTCTCGAAGCCGTTGGAGGAACCGTAGCGAGCGATCTGGATTCGGTAGGTACGGCAGCGGTCGTAGTGTATGGAACGTGTATTGCGCCTCTTCTTGTATCTTCTTGTAATCGCGGTTGCGCGCTGGCAGGGCGGCTTTGATGGGACCGGGGCGCCGGGGTGCTGAGGCGGCGGATATGGTGTTGTTGAGGGAGGAGACGGCTTCGGTTGTGCTGCCCATGAGGGTTGTTTTCTTGCCGACGAGCTCTGTGAGCGGTAGGGAGGGGTTCTTGAAGGGTGGTTTCTGGAGTCCGATCTTCCCGCCTACGAGGAACTTTTGGTTGGACGGCGGTATTGACAAGTCGTTTGCGACGCGTTCGGAGAGATCGGAGATTGTGGCATCTTGGGCGAAGGATAATGCGATTGCTTTGCCGTGGTGTGTGAGGGTTATTTCGATGTCGGAGCCCGAGGGTGAAGGCGCAGATGTGGTGTCGGCTTCTGTCATCGTGGAAGCGTTGTAGGTGGTGGCGAGAGGATGTTCAGGCGGTGCGAGGGTTGGATGCTGTCTAGGCGCGATCTAGTATACGGAGTAAGTGACGAGGTTAGTAGTGATTAAGATATAAAGCTTCGCAGCATGTGGCCGAGCTCTAGCCATGCGTGGTTTCGGTGACGTTCTGCAAGGCTTCCACGAGATGACGGGGTCGCCATCGGAATTTGTCATCACTACCTAAACTCCGATGCTCAGCCATGCTGTTGACTATTCACCACCATCGCCATCGGGCCGTTGTGCAACACTCGCAGATCTTAGATTCTTGGTAACCGGGAGGCCTCACTCGCTTGTTCCCGTGCTCACTGATCAATAATCGTTACATCTGCTACTTAAATTCAACGTCGCCGGGTATCAATAAAGCGTGTACTAGAAACATACGCTGGCAATGCCTGGGCTATAACCCAGTATAAGCCATCGACACCACCTGCATTACGGCCAGCTGGAATACTAGTCCAGTTTTGACTCTTCCTCCGCCTTCTTCTTCTCCTCTTCTTCTTTCTTCTTGCGCTCTTCTTCTTCCTTCTTCAGCGTTTCCTCATTCTTTACCCATTCTTTGACATCAGGATCCCAGCGGTGTCTACGCGTCGTTAGTCATGACTTGCCCATGCATGAAAGTAAATCCACTTACCCATGGAAGTTCGTCTCTATCAGGGCCTTCTCCTTGTACTCGTCCACAAGTATCTTGTCGTAGTTGTACGGCACCTTCGCCGGGACGCCCTCGAACATGGTCTCCCGCATGGGATACAGCTCCGATGTGTCGTACCGGTGATAGTTCTTGCAAACCCACTGCCCCGGGTTCTTGTCCGGATGTGTCTCGCTCAATCCGGTGATGTCAATGAACAGGCCGTTGCGCAGGTCGATCCATCGCGCATCGATAATGTTCATGCCGTCGCCACGCTCGCGCTCCCAGATCCACGGGTTGACGTCGAGAAGGTATTCGCGCTGGACGGCGCCGTCGTAGGAAGTGTAGTGGTATCGAGTCTGATTGTGTACTGCGCCGAGGTGTTGGAGTGTGCTGTCGGACACCTGAGTGTCGAGATCGAAGTCCCAAGGAAGACGCTGCAGAGGCGTTAGCACGTACCGCGAACAGTTGGATGCAAGACTCACCTTTCCATTCCACCACCAACCGAGCAATGTCCCGTGTGCTATCCAGGTATCGAGTTCGTTTTCGCGGAAGAAGTTCAGGTAGGCGCGGACCATGTGCGATTGCGTATCCGTTCGCTCTTCGTCGGAGACGATGCCCTTGAAAAAGCGCTTGTCATAGTGGCCGAGCGTAATACTGCCTCTGGAGGGGTGTCAGCGAACATGCTACAGGGCGCAATGACATCGCGAGTAGCAAGGCTATGATGACTTACCCGGGCTCATGAAAGTACTTGGTATCAGGCTTCTTCTTACCTTTCCTGCTTTCAATACGATCGGCCAAGTTGTCTCCTCCTTGGTGTCTGTTGAGTGGCGTCGGTGTGGCTAGTGAAGAGGCGAAGAGTGTCGCGGTTGCAAAGGCGGCAGCGCATTTCAGTAACCGCATGGCTGAGGCGACGACTCCACTTCAGGCTTCCAATCCAGATAGGTATACCGTTTCAAAGACAACGAGACGAAAGGGCGCCAACAGTAACGAACACTTGCCGTATGATGTTATTATGATCGTCCAAAACTCCAAGGTAGAACCGAGCAAAGGTAAGCGCAGCGTTTCGGGAAGGTGATCGCGTGCTCAGAGTTCAGCGATCGACAGCCGTGGGGCAGGGAAGGCGCGGATAACGTCAGTGAAGAAGAAGCAACCGCAGGCGGGACAGAGAAGATAAGAGAAGCGCAATGGGGGCCAACCATGGGGTCACAGCGTGCGGGAGGGGAGTCAAAAGGCTTCATGACGCGCACGCGACAGGTTGCCAGCCTGAGCCTGTGCCTGGTGCCGCCCACTTGCTCCTCCACAGTAGCCTTGTGCTACGTAAACTCATTCGCGCTCCCATTCCCCTTGCTGGTTACAGGTGTGCCGCTTTTCCGGGGTATCATGGGTATCTGGCGAGCTTGACAGGCGTCGTCGTCCAGTGACACGCGGCGTTGCGTGGTTAAGCTTTCCAAGTTTTGGCTTTGGGC